TACCCTGTAGGTAAATGTAACCGTAGGTTCTCTACTAACAGTCTAATTTTTTGCACTTCTCTCCTTTGGAACTCTCTTCAGATTTCTTGCTTCTCTGTCATCTACAAAAGCAAAAAATTGACATCATTCAACAATTCGCCATCGTCTGAATCTATTATTTACTGTCCTTTCTCCTCACTAACGTCTTCTCATTCTTTTCTACTCCGAGTAGTCTCTTGCGTCTGACTAGCATTATAAACTTGCCGGAGTTGAAATGATTAAAAAATAGATAGATAGATAGATAGATAGATAGATAGATAGGATGAGACTGGGAAAGATAGATAGATAGATAGATAGATAGATAGATAGATAGATAGATAGATAGACCCCGTCTGATATTATTAAGCAAATCATATAAACTTCAATAATTCAAATTTGGTTTGAAAAAAAATTGTCAAATTTTAAACAATCAATTTATATGTCAGAATAAACCTTAAATTAAAATTTTATGTAATATCAATATGTTTTATTGAAGCTATTGAAGTTATTTGATGTATTTTAAAAAATTCTGTCTGCAGTTATTAGGCTAAACCAAATAATTTTACATCAATAAAAACTTAATAAAATCATCAAAATTTGATCAACACCTATAATAGAAAAATAACAAACATATATGATAAGTCTTTGAATACTTTATGTTGTAATGGAATGTCCCACACTCCCTATCGCCTATCTGGACTGACTATATCAGTAGCTATATATGGTGAGCACAGGATATAACTGGGGCTCGCTTCAGCAATTATTTGGAGATTCGTCTCCAGCTGAGCTGTTCAAAATCTCTGCCTTTGGTAGAGAGGAACCCAGACGAGGCTATGGGGTGGTAGACAGCTACCCGATCCCATTTTTTACGAGGTCTACGGGTAATTTTTGCCCGACCTTACGGGATCGGATACCCCACGTTAAATTCGGCCTTGTGACACATCCTGTCTCGTGGGGAGGTAAGGTAAATATCCTTGCTTCGGCAATTAGTTGGAGATTCGTCTTTGGCTGGGCTACTCGAACTCTCTGCCTTCGGCGGAGGGGAACCCAAACGAGGCTTTGCCGAAGGGCAGAGTCTCGTCTGGAGTGGCAGACAGCTACCCGATCCTGTGTATACAGGGTCTACGGGGAATTTTTGCCCGAGCCTACGGGCTCGGTTTTACCCGGCAATAAAAAAAAAGGCCTTCTGCCACATCCTGTCTCGCGGGGATTTAAGCTAAATAAACTTGCTTTGACAATTAATTGGAGATAGGTCGCCAGCTGTGACGATCGAAGTCTCTGCCTTCGGGCAAAGAGGATTCCCAGACGAGGATATGTCGAAGGGCAGAGTCTCGTCTCGGGAAACAGCTACCGGACCCCGTTTCATACGGGTTCGGATAACCAACGTTAAATTCGGCATTGTTCCACATCTGACCGCGTGGGGCGGTTGGTAGATATCCTTGCTTCAGGAATTACTAGCCTGCTACCGATTTCCCTGTCTTTCAGTAGTGTATTCTCTTTTACAATAAACCTCTCTTTCTTTCATCTACGCGCATTTTGCTCTCTCTTCACTCGAGTACCACCTTTGTCTGTCTGTAACCTCTTTAAGGATACAACACTTTACATTTAATAGAGTTACCCTTCTTCACAATGACTGTCATTACCTATTGATTTTTTTAATGTTTCTATATCAGCATGTTCAATATCGACATAGTTTTAATTGATTCCGATAGGTCTGTTTTGCTGCTATATTGTTTGTCACCTTCATATAATTTCATCTTCACAATTGACCATAGATTTTCGATCGGATTCACATCAGGACTTGATTGTTGCCATTCCATTATCTTCTTTCCTGTAAATCTTTTATGCTCGAAGAATTCACAGGTAAGCCTAGATAAATGAGAAGGAGCATTGCATAAATACACACACTTCACTCTAAAACTGCGAGTCTAGAACTTGTACCATGCAAAGAAAGTCTTATATTGAAATAACACTGTTCAGTTTGACTCCTCCATCGACTTTGAATGGTTCAATAATTCTTTGGTCGACAATTCCAGCCTATATGATAACACTACTACCTCTTTGTTGTCTTCTTTTTACTACAGGCACATCTGATTTAGATAAAACCATCCTTTGACCCATCTAACACGTCAATCAAATGTCACTTGAGATTCGTCCATGAAAATTACTTTAGAAAAGTCAATTTTCATGTATTTCTTGACCCAATTTTGACGCTTTAAATATTTGTTTTATTGAGAGGTAGTTGTCTCGGAGATTTTGTTTTACAGATCCCAATTCCCAAAGTATTCTATACATATCGTTGTTCATTACTCCCTCAATTCCAACCTTTTCAAAGAGCTGAGCACTGGTCAATAGTGGCCGTTTCTTTTTAACTCGCTTTAGTTTATGTTCATCTCGGAGAAGCAAGTTTTTAACGTCTTTTTCCTTTGCTTCGAGTTCTCAACATATATTTTCGACAGCCTTCTTTACCATTCAATGATCTCTGCAAAGCTCCTTTGATATCTCTAATGTAGACATTCCCTCACTCAATAACTTTGTTATTTTCTGTTAACACTGTTCAGTTTAACTTCTTCACCAACATTGAATGGTCCGGTAATGGTTTGATCGACAATTTCAGCCTATATCATAACAATGTCGCCACCTTGTTGCCTTCTTTTAAATTAGACAAAATCCACCCTTTGCCTCATCTATCACGTCCATCATATGTCACTCGAAATTTGTCCGTGGAAATTACTTTAGAAAAGTCAATTTTCATTTCTTGGCCCAATTTTGAGACTGGTCAAAAGTAGTTGTTTCGCTATAACTCTCTTTAGTTTATCTTCATCTCCAGTAATCCTTAAATTCTTTTCCTTTGCTTCGAGTTCTCAACTTCCTTATATTTTCAACAGCCATTTTATCATTCAATGATCTCTGCAAAGCTCCTTTGATGTCTCCAATGTCGACATTATCTCACTCAATAATTTTGTTATTTTCTGTTTTTCAGCAGTTTTTAGATCCTTCCCTTTACCCATGGTTCAGCATATATTAGGGACAAAATTCGAAATAGCTTTTATTAGATTTCAGAGGCCTTAAGTTAATATTAGTTTAATATGCAGAATAACTTCAATCAGTCTATTTTTCTAAATTCCAAATATCTCAAAAACTAACCATTAAAAATGGCAGAAAATTTTATTAAATATTTTACTAAGAGTGGAAATGGAGGAGTTTAAATTTGACAAATATTGGTTCAGAACCTTTCGATTTATTGATTTTTATTTGATTTACATAATGACTTCTGACATGCAGTAGATAGATAGAAAGGAAACGTACGCTCAGATTAAGAATTAGTTGAGTTGTAAAAGATAAATGTGTTTTTTGACGAAGAGGTTTATAATTTGAAATAAAGAAGAAAATAAAACTTGGAAACTAAAAATGGAAGCTAAACGCCAAAGGAAAAAACATGTGAAAGGGTAGAAAGAAAGAAAGAAAGAAAGAAAGAAAGAAAGAAAGAAAGAAAGAAAGAGAAAAAAAATAAAGAAAATATACAAAGAAATAAAAAAAACTGTCTCCGAGAGATCAAAATCTTTCAGGATAGATAGATAGATAGATAGATAGATAGATAGATAGATAGAAATAGGTTGAGATAGATAGATAGATAGATAGATAGATAGATAGATATGAATAGGTTGAGATAGATAGATAGATAGATAGATAGATAGATAGATAGATCTGTCAAGGACAAATAGATACATACAAGACTGAGATAGATCTGAAATAACATGTATAGATAGAAATAGAGATAGATAAGACGAATTTGAATAACCAACTCTCCTTCTATATTATGGGATCCATAGAAGGAATAATCTGAGAAGCTATTCTAGTTACTAGTGAAGACCTTTCCTTAAAAGTCTTTCATTCTATTCCGGACATATGGCGAAGTTGACCGATCGATGGAAGGAAATATTGGCAGGTGTGTAAGAAATATTCGTTATTCCTTATTTCCGTTTCTGATAAATTATGAACCCAAAGTATTAATATATAATCCCTCTGCCGACGAAAATATCAATATTAACGATATCAGTGTCAAGGGAACTGAAGAATGGTTATCGCTCAGAGTTTAAATGTCGCAGAAAATGCAATGCTGATATGATTCCATTCAAGTTGGGATAATTTATTTCAAAAGATCTCTTTCTTTTTTCTTTTTTTTTTCTTTTTTTCTTTTTTTTTCTTTTTTTCTTTTCTTTTTTATGCACTCGTTTGGGGACTATAGAGGTTGCGATGGATAAATTGTCGTCTAAATTACTCAAAAAGGAAAATGACTCTGACATCTCATTTTAAAAAATTACACAAAAAAAAAAAGAACTTGAAGCACTAAAGAGTAAGTTGATTCAATAAAATCGCCATTGGTTTCAACCACGGCCTTACAGACGACTTCTGAATCTCCTGCATCTCTTCTGGACGATCTCCTGGTTTAAGTTGATGACTGCTAATCCGTGCCTTCAGTTCATCTTTGATGTTGCAAGGTGTTTTGTCGGTCTCTCTCTCAACTGCGCCCCACACATAATAATCAAGGTCGTTGCTATCTGGGGAGTTATGTGGCCAGATTTAAACGGTGATGTGGTCGCAGAAATTGTTTGGGTTATCCTGCTTGTGTAGCGCGATTGCAGAGTCCTGTTGCCAGACATAGGATTTTCCAGCAGCCACCATCATGACCCATGGCAACACTATTTCCTCAAGGCACTTGATGTAGGCCTTCGTGTTGATTCTGAGGCCCTGTGGTAAAATGAATTGAAGCATAAATTTGGCATCACTAGCGATCATTCCAAAACCCTTCGTAATCAATATTAGACTCATTTAACTCTTCGCTAATCCTCAGATTAACACCCAAACACTCTGAAATGTACATATTGGATCTTCCGGCGCTAATGCCAAGTAAGTCAGTCTGCCGTTTTTAAATTTCTGGTGAAGGGAATTGCATCATTGTGCTCTTTTTCTTATCTTTCATGTTACTTTCCTTCTCCCTTTCTTCATATTTTCCTCGCTTCCTTTTCTCTTTCTTCTATTATATTCTCTTCATTATTTTTCCGTTACCTCTTTGTCTCATCTTCGTCACCATTCTTTCTTTCTTCCTCTCCTCTTTCTTCCTCTCCTCTTCTCTTTCTTCCTCTCCTCTTTTCTTTCTTCCTCTCCTCTTCTCTTTCTTCCACTCCTCTTCTCTTTCTTCCTCTCCTCTTCTCTTTCTTCCTCTCCTCTTCTCTTTCTTCCTTCCTCTCCTCTTCTCTTTCTTCCTCTCTTCTTTTCTTTCTTCCTCTCCTCTTTTCTTTCTTTCTTTCTCTCCTCTTCTCTTTCTTCCTCTCCTCTTTTCTTTCTTTCTTCCTCACCTCTTTCTTCCTCTCCTCTTTTCTTTCTTTCTTCCTCTCCTCTTCTCTTTCTTTCTTCCTCACCTCTTTCTTCCTCTCCTCTTTTCTTTCTTTCTTCCTCTCCTCTTCTCTTTCTTCCTCTCCTCTTTTCTTTCTTCCTCTCCTCTTCTCTTTCTTCCTCTCCTCTTTTCTTTCTTCTTCTCCATTTCTCTTTCTTCCTCTCCTCTTCTCTTTCTTCCTCTCCTCTTTTCTTTCTTTCTTCCTCTCCTCTTCTCTTTCTTCCTCTCCTCTTTTCTTTCTTCCTCTCCTCTTCTCTTTCTTCCTCTCCTTTTTTTCTTTCTTCCTCTCCTCTTCTCTTTCTTTCTTCCTCTTCTCTTCTCTTTCTTCCTCTCCTCTTCTCTTTCTTCCTCTCCTCTTCTCTTTCTTCCTCTCCTTTTTTTTTCTTTCTTCCTCTCCTCTTCTCTTTCTTTCTTCCTCTTCTCTTCTCTTTCTTCCTCTCCTCTTCTCTTTCTTCCTCTCCTCTTCTCTTTCTTCCTCTCCTCTTCTCTTTCTTCCTCTCCTCTTCTCTTTCCTCCTCTCCTCTTCTCTTTCTTCCTCTCCTCTTTTCTTTCTTCCTCTCCTTCTCTTTCTTCCTCTCCTCTTTTCTTTGTTCCTCTCCTCTTTTCTTTCTTTCTTCCTCTCCTCTTTTCTTTCTTCCTCTCCTCTTTTCTTTCTTCCTCTCCTCTTCTCTTTCTTCCTCTTCTCTTTCTTCCTCTCCTCTTTTCTTTCTTCCTCTCCTCTTTTCTTTCTTTCTTCCTCTTTTCTTTCTTCCTCTCCTCTGTTCTTTCTTCCTCTCCTCTTCTCTTTCTTCCTCTCCTCTTCTCTTTCTTCCTCTCCTCTGTTCTTTCTTCCTCCCCTCTTCTCTTTCTTCCTCTCCTCTTTTCTTTGTTCCTCTCCTCTTTTCTTTCTTTCTTCCTCTCCTCTTCTCTTTCTTCCTCTCCTCTGTTCTTTCTTCCTCCCCTCTTCTCTTTCTTTCTTCCTCTCCTCTTCTCTTTCTTCCTCTTCTGTGTTCTTTCTTCCTCCCCTCTTCTCTTTCTTCCTCTCCTCTTTTCTTTCTTTCTCTCCTCTTTTCTTTCTTTCTTCCTCTCCTCTTTTCTTTCTTCCTCTCCTCTTCTCTTTCTTCCTCTCCTCTTTTCTTCCTTTCTTCCTCTCCTCTTCTCTTTCTTCCTCTCCTCTTTTCTTTCTTCCTCTCCTCTTTTCTTTCTTTCTTCCTCTCCTCTTCTCTTTCTTCCTCTCCTCTTTTCTTTCTTTCTTCCACTCCTCTTTCTTCCTCTCCTCTTTTCTTTCTTTCTTCCTCTCCTCTTCTCTTTCTTTCTCTCCTCTTTTCTTTCTTCCTCTCCTCTTTTCTTTCTTTCTCTCCTCTTCTCTTTCTTCCTCTTCTCTTCTCTTTCTTCCTCTCCTCTTCTCTTTCTTCCTCTCCTCTTTTCTTTCTTTCTTCCTCTTTTCTTTCTTCCTCTCCTCTGTTCTTTCTTCCTCTCCTCTTCTCTTTCTTCCTCTCCTCTTCTCTTTCTTCCTCTCCTCTTCTCTTTCTTCCTCTCCTCTTTTCTTTCTTTCTTCCTCTCCTCTTCTCTTTCTTCCTCTCCTCTTCTCTTTCTTCCTCTCCTCTCCTCTTCTCTTTCTTCCTCTCCTCTTCTCTTTCTTCCTCTCCTCTTTTCTTTCTTTCTTCCTCTCCTCTTCTCTTTCTTCCTCTCCTCTTTTCTTTCTTTCTTCCTCTCCTCTTTCTTCCTCTCCTTTTCTCTTTCTTTCTTCCTCTCCTCTTTTCTTTCTTCCTCTCCTCTTTTCTTTCTTCTTCCCATTTTCCTTCTCAATCTTCTCTATTTCTTTCACATCCATTTCTCTCTTTTTATATTTTCTTCTTTTCTCACTTTATTAAATTTATGTCACTTGTCCTTACTTTCTTCATAGTCATCATCATCATCATCATTTTTGTTGTTTTTACTCCCATTATATTCTTCTTCTTCTTCTACTTTGTTGAAACTTGAATAAAGCATGGAATAATAATAATACAACACAAAATGTACTTAAACAAAATGTATTGACACAAGAACGTGTACACAATATTTACAGATAGTTTGGTATATTCTTGGGAAGACGGTTCCTGTAGAATGTGTTGACTTAGTCGCAGTCGGGCAGAGTCTCTGGATTCGATCTCTTCTTCCTCCCCCGTCTTCCCGGTACCAACCATATTTATATGATCGGTACTCACTATGTAAATTAGGTGGATCGTACCACAACATACTTCTATTGAGTATTTGTTTCCTCTTCCTTCCCTGAAGTTATCGTCCTCTTCCCCATTCTTCTTGTCCTTCTGCGTCTGCTTCTTCTTCTTCTATATTCAGATAGTGATTCGGAGCCGACCCAGAGCCATAAAACGGCTAGCCAGCAACAGTCAGCAACCAAATCTGCAATAACAAAGTCAGTGAAAGGCAGTCACAAAACCAGACCAGGCCTCGATCAACAACATAGACACACGTACCCCGACAGCGCGTATGTCAGCGATGATTTTTTCTACATACAACGCCACAACCAAAATGGGTTTTGTCTCCCCTCTCTTTGTTCACTGTGTTTTAAAATTACTGCTGCAGCACGCAATCGGTCAGCAGTCACACATGTTTAATTAGCGTGTTCTTCACACGCACATATTGGTGTGCGATACCACTTGATTTTCTCACTTGCAACAAACACACTTCGAAATTTTGCGACAAACCATTTCGAATAATCGAACTATTAGTCTCTTCGTGGCCACAACAACGAACATTGCTTTTTAATATGCAATACATGTCTGTATAAATGTTACTATCATATTTAGCTTGGTCTTTTCTGCAAAGAATATTTCTTTGGTTTGTTTATAATTTTATGTTGTATTTGTGGACATGACACACGGATTTTATTTTTCCTTCCAAAATCCGGATAAACTGACCCCACAGTATGTTTCCATTATGTGGTCCAAATCACACACACACACACACATGTATATATATATATATATATATATATATATATAGAGAGAGAGAGAGAGAGAGAGATAAAGAGAGAGAGAGAGAGAGTGAAAGAGTGAATGCAGAGGGGAAGAATTTTCCAGTCCTATTAATTACTTAATATCTGAACAAATGACCAAACATCGAAATTTATTTTTAAATCCATTCTTGTATAAACCGGAAACTATTCAACAACGCCCCATGTAAGCACACAAAAATACAGGCCTACGCGCGCACAGATATCTATATAAGATATTAATAATACTAATTGGACGGCAATATATAGCAATATTTAAGCTGAATAAAAAAATAAGGTAATTACTCGTAGAGGGTGGACATTACATACTAAGAAATTATGGCTATAAAAGATTGTGATACGTATTTTTTAAATTTAACTACATTTTAAAGCAAAGTTAAGTGTGTTGGCAATTTACATATAATTCACTCCTTTGGTTTAATAGAGAGTTTTTTTCAGCAAATTTGATTATTTGTAATTTTTCATGTAAACATATGAAACACGGATATTATTTTCTATTTTACCGTAGGGTTTTTATTAACTCTTTTTAAGTTTAAAAAATATTTACAAAGTGACGTCCTATTTCTGGACGCGTTATTGGAGAAAGTTAATACATGTTGGTACCATCTAGTTTTAAAGGAATTCTTGGTACTCTCCATATAAAATTATTTAACTGTTGGATTTTCTATAGAACTTAGGTAATCTGACATCTGTTTTGTAATGAACATTCTTTAGAATTTCTACAATTACCCTCGTTGGTATTATCTGCATTATTTGCTTTAGAATGGCAATTATTACTCAGTTTTTTATATTGATTTATTATGCTAAGAGGATTATTTCTGGGGAAGTGTTTCTCAATTAAATTAAGAAACGTCTGCCTTAACTTAGTACTAACCATTTGGTTAAATGGTGGTGTGTACCAAATGATTTTACTGTTTCTATTTTTATTCCTACTATCACTGCTATGTTTTATATATTTGATGCCAGTGCAGTTTTATAAAATTTATTACGCTTGTAAAAGATATCTTCACTGAAAGTGTTATTGTTAATCCTATATTCTATAAAGGAGGGTATGTATTTGATTACAGATGGGGGTGGTTAGAATTTGGGTGGATATATATTGGATTAGCGTTTGTTTTCAAATAGGGTTGGAACGCATTATTTACTAGGTCTAATGTAACATCTAGGAAATGTATTTTTTAAAATTTGTATTGATTTTAAATTTAAAGTTGAGACTTAATTAATTTCCTGATTTTATCAGCTTTAATTTTTGTGGAATTTTTCAGCACTATAAGGCCATCATTATGTCATCTGAAAATGATTATAATATTTATAAAAATAAATAATAAAATTTTAAATCAATACAAATACCTGAGTAATAATTCCAAAGCAACACACTCAGATAATACCAGCAAGTGTATTTGTAGAAATTCTAACGATCCATTACAAAACAGATGTCAAACAGAATCTCTTGTTTACCTAAGCACTATTTCTTCTATAGAAAATCCAACAGTTAAAAGATTTTATATCGGGAGTACCAAGAATTCATTTAAAACTAGGTGGTACCAAAATGTTTTATCTTCCCCAATAACGAATACAGAAATAGGATGTTCCTTTCTAGATATTTTTAGAAATTAAAAGAAGTTAATAAAATCATTAAGATAAAATAGAAAATAGTTTATAACAGCTAATAAAGAAAATAGAGGTAAGAAAATAACACTAACTCAGAAAACCACAGCACGGCAGGTGGCACACAACTTTAGGAACAAAATGCCCAAAGGAACGACTTCAGAAGGCACAGACTTTCGTCGACTGCGCACAGCTGGTTTTCCCGTCGCTTTTATTGGTATGAGACAACAAAGATTCGGACAAGTTGCAGTGGGGCCTGTATTTAGACATGCAAAACTGCCCCGATGCCAACGGGGGAAAATCCGGATGTAACTAGTTTTGGCTGACATGTCCGCACGCGACTCCAAGGCTCTTTTCCGTATGTACTGACGAGCGTTCGCAACAGAAGCGTTGTCTTAAGTGCGTTTACAAGGAAGGAGATTATGAAAATCAATATTTGTTGCGTACAATACATGCTGTATTTCATCAATGAGCCGCGAACATATTAATCTATCTGAGAAAAAAAATCTGTTCTTTTGAAGTTATTATCAAATTAGCACATATCTCAAGCAACTCACTTCACCGAAAAAAACAAAGAAACAAGCAAACAAAACTCATGTTTAGTGACCATTACTATCATGTATTATACTAAGGAGGGATGGGAAGAGTGTACTGCGCCAAGTTTCTAAGTTTAGAAAAGCCGGACAGCCTTTAAAATCAACATTTGAAATCCAGGCATTATACTCTAATGACTTTATCTTATCCAAGGAATCAGACTCTCTTCCCGTAGAATTTTCTTGTCTCCATTCTCCTCAAATTTTAAATCAAGTACGTGCATAATAGTTTTGATATTTGTAGAAGTTAAATGACTTACCTTCTAACATGGCTGCCTCCTTGTGTCTCCTTGTAAAGGCAGACCAGTCAATCTACCTCATTTATAGGAGAGTACCTAATACAGCAGGTGGATTAGTCCACTTTACTAGAATGGACCTGCCCAACACATTTGCATGAACGGACTCTATTCACTTATATATCTCTCCATTAAATCACTCAATGCTGTTCTCCGACTTGGATTGGGGATTTTAGATTTTTATATTGTTATTTTATTCTCCACCCCCGACAGACAATATATTGTATATATGGGGACTAGTTAGTGTTGCAGTTTTTTGGGGGTATGTATGTACTAGTGAGCTAGCCTAAATGAGTTGACTCATTTTATAGTCCACCAAGAGAAGTGTTAACCAATCAGAAGACGTAAAATATTCAATCCGTCGTGTATAAAGGCGGCCATTTTGTTTACTCTCTCCGAATGTCCAGTGCCAACTTGTCAGGCGAAAGAACAGAAGGAAGAACTACTGAACTACGCTCTGCTACTTCTGCTAACCTCTGGATTCTATACTCAAAGACGACCGTCATCATGAACAACAGTTGGGACTTCATACAGTTTCTGAGGCATTATGGCGGATGGGGTAAGAATGGTAAGTAAGAATGAGTTGTTTTGGTGAAAGGAATAATGTTTGAATATTTGGGTCAGTGTTTGCGGTTAGCTAAGTTTAATGTTAAGACAGAATCTGACTATCCTTTTCCCAATTCCCTCTTTTCGGCCTTGTGCCATATTTGTACTTTTTGTGCAATAAATATTCTGTTCTCCGACTTGAAGTGACAACACCAGTTTACGTGTGTTTCGGACCACTTGCAAGTTAACCAATATTCTACAATATTCATTGGATGAATCCTATTATGGTTTTTCTGCACGTCTTTCAGACATGTTATTACTAGTGATGGCTTACACCTAGCCTTAGTAAGAGATGTAATGGACTTAAGGTGTCTGAATTTTCTTGAGGAATTGCTATTGATTTTTGAATTGTCTTTTTGTCAACTTATTCAAATGTTGCTCGAAGATTTGAATTTAAGTCCCAATCTCGCGGTGAGCTTAATCTTTATTTCTTATCTATCCTGACTACTCAACGGTCGTAGAATAACGACCTGAGAGCAGCGATAAAAATAAATCAACTAAAAATAAGATGAAAGAATTATTCATGGACAATTCCTTCCTATCTATTTTTCTTCATTTTCTCTTTCTTTCTTTTCTTTCTCTCTCTCTCTTTCTCTCTCTCGCTTTCTCTTTCCCTCTCTCTCTTTCTCTCTCTTTCTCTCTCTCTTTCTCCCCCCTCTGTTTCTTTGTCTTGCCTTCTCCGCACCCGCTTATTCTTACTATTCCTTCTTCTTTCCTCTTGCTCTCATTCTTTTCTTTTTTCATTTTAATTTCAGATTTCTGTTGTATTATTTGCCTAATTTCCGGG